TTCTCCATTCTGTCACCGATGGAGTTTTGGTTCCTTGCCGCTGTCGCCTCTGGCTTGCTTAGTTGGGGACACTTCCATTTCCAGCGATACCGTTGACTTGATTGCAAAGATACTATTTAAACTGAGCTGGATGTTGACATCACTGAATTCAATGATGAATTGTCTTTAACTGAAAAATTAGTTTACTATTGTCATTTTGCATTATTGACACACTATTTTCCTAATTAATGCTGTTCAGTTGCTTTGACACAATCTGTATTGTTAAAAGCGCTATATAAATAAAGGTGACTTGACTTGACTTGACTTGATAAGGTCTGTCGAGGCACCCGGTTGCTATGGCGATATGAGTGGCAGGGTCTTACTGTTTGAACAATGTCAACACGCAGCAGCACTCCATTTCACAGACAACTTTTAGGATGGTATGTAATGCTAAGCACTATGAATAAGACTGCATTTTTATTCAGCTTTTAAAAAAATGTGGATCTGTCTTTTGGTCATAATAATATAATTACAAATGCTCATATTTTGCTATGCAGTACACTTACACCACATATATTCTTCTGCCCTGCACAAGGTCCTAGATTTTGATTAATGTGGGAGATATGTGAGAGTAAATTAACTTGACTTAAAAAGTGAATTAAAATGGACATGTAGGAAAATTCACTGCTTTGTGCCAAATGTATGACTCCCCGCCAGTGTTGTTTTAAAGTAAAACCGAGAAGTCCAGCCTCTTGAAAACCCCTCTGTGCTTTCCAAGCACTACGTTTTGAGGAGGTCATATGCTGAACATCTGTAATTTTGCCTAGGAAACATCAGCAGGCCAACTCAAACCCGACTCTCTCCCCCCGACTCCAGCCTCCAACTATGGGGCAACAAATTCAGCCTAACTCCCCGAAGAGGACACAGCCCGTTCCCCTTCCAGCTCAGGGCCCTCTGCACGATTCAGTCCATTGAGTGCAGAAATGAGTTATAGCGTTTTTCACACCTGGTTCTGCTCAAGATGCAGCACAGTTGAGGTTTGGCAAAATGTGCTCCCAGCGTGTAAGAGAAAAACAAGAATGTTGCCTCCACCAGAATTGTTACATGTGTGTGAAGAGGGTGCTAAATTGGAGCCTAATTACATTAAAAGCGATTATGCCTTCCAGTTTCATTTTGAACACGAGCAGCACGTAAAATGGGGGGTGGGGGAAACGGGCGATTGCATATTGTGCTGTGGTTTGCTTTTTACGAGCTGTGATGGAGGCTCCCTCCCGTTCTCTGGTTCTGTGTACAAACAGAACGAAGCCTAGAGCCTGGCGTGCCAGCCTAATATTTGGCTGTTCCAGGATCGGTCCTCACTGCGGCTGCATAGCAACAATCTGAAGCCTGGCTTTCATCTAATTACTCTATCACATAATTTTGCAAATTGCCCTTTCACTGGGGAGCTGAGTGCAAAAAACATAAGCACAGCAGGATTTGGGGCAATGGCTTCCATTTATTACTCATTTCTTGTTAAATTAAACAAGAAAATACTGTTTGTGAGATAGAGGGAAAAAATCAGGAGGGAACAAGAAATGGGAAGGAGGGGGGCAAAGAGTCCAATTTCACGGCCACAGGAACAGGAAAGCTGCTCAGTGCACCCAGCATTCCCCTCCAGGATGCCTGGCACAATCACACTATCTTTGTTCAGATAAAATAAAAAAACAAAAACAAACAAAAGTTAGAGCAGGAAAAATAACAGACGTTTAGGGCCTCTTGTTTTGTTTTTATTTTTATTTTTTTTTACTTCACCACAAAGTTTATTGGAATGTGTTCACGCCGGTTTACAGCATGCTAAAACACTTGTGAGTGGCAAGTAATTAGCTAGCATCTCTCCCTCTTTTTCTCCTTACTATTCTCAGACCTGCAAACGCCCGCTTCCACTTGCCTCGCAAGCCGGCTAATAACCGGGTACTGAAAACAACTGATTAAAGTGCAGCTTCAGTAGTGTAGTGTAGTGTATTTACCCCATAAGCCTTCACCGTCTCCTCTGTATCTCTCTCCGTTCCGCTTATTGTTTTCCTCTCTTCCACCGAATGGCTCGTCAGAATAATCTTGTAGTGCCACCCACTTCACACTTCCGTCTCGGCACAATGGCTTCGCTGGTTGATTCATGTGACATGCAAAGAGTGCATTCTTGCTGCAGTTGAACTGCGAGACACATATGTAATCTATATTTCCCTGAGACAGAAGGCTATCATCTGTGTGTGTTGTTTGTGCCGCTTGCTAATTGCCACTGTCTTTATCTCCAAAGGCCAGACCTGAAGACTGTTCCTTCACACATCAATTCAGAGGAAAAGGGACATCAGAGGTTCAGCAACTACCTCTTCCATCAATCCTGTGCTTTCTCCCACTTTCTCCCACATCTTTGTGGCCCCACTTGAGACTTTCTGACGTCCTTTGAGTAAAAGCCAGTTGGAGACGGAAGGTGAGATGACTGCATTGTCCGTAAGGTCAATCATCCATGCCTCACATGCTGTGTGTTGTTTTGTTCCCCACACAAATGCTGAGCTGTCAGAGTGAAGCATTCGGAGCAGGGAGTGAAATAAGTCTAATTTCCCAAGTTTGCTGTAAGGAGCGCTGTGCAAACCTATTTACGGCAGAGACTGAAAGTGTTTCCATTTATGTTTCGATCTGACTCTTTGTCTCTGTATTAAAGTCAACGTCCTTTCTCTCTCTTTATGTCTGTCTCTCAATCTATCCCTGCTTTTCTCTCACACTTTCTTCTCAGACAATCTTTTAGCAGGAACTCTGATTCCATGTTATTGGTTTCTCTATTTTGTTTTTCATCTCACACACTGAGTTTTAAGCAATGTTTACACTGGCAATGAGATGCACAGCAATAATAAGTCATTTTCACTAAACTGGAGTTTTTTGGTAACGAGCAATAGCGATGGTGGGCGATACAGCAAAATAGTTCAACTTTGTGTGAATAAGCATGGACGCAATTCTGTGACTACTGATGAGAGTACAGAAACGGATCAGCAGCCTGATACAGTTGAATACTACAATCAAGTAGGAACGTCTACAAGCAATCACTGTCATTGTAAATACCCTTTTGCTGCAAAAGAGTTCTGTGCACTCGCCGTCATGATACTTGGCTGTTAGGGGTGTTTTCTTGTTCATTGCTATGTGGTTGTTTGCAAAGGTGCTCTAAGTGGTTGCTAGAGCACTGCTAAGTGCTTGCTAGGGTGAAAAAAATACTACGTCTGAGTGCTTAAATGTAATAGCACTTTCCTTTCCTTTCCTTTCCTTAACAAGCCACATGATTTAAGATATACAGAGCATGAATGAAAAGTTACGTCCTTAATTGTAATACTTAAGGTATACTTAAAGTTTAAGCAATAGTACGAGTAGTATTCTAAGCCTTACCTAAACCCCAACCATACTTTATATATATATATATAAAAGGTATTTTAGCATTTCTATAGTAATAATAATAAAACATTTACTATTTATAAATATTTGTTTTACTTTCAAGCTGTCCTAAAAGGGTTTTGTCAGATTTAGCAAACTTCCTTGTGACAACTTTGTCCCTAAAGTATAGTTAAACACAAACACTTGAGACAGAACAAGCCCTCAATGACACATACTGTTCACCATATTGGTCAGCCAAGACAAACAGGAAACTAAACTTCCATCAGTCTGTGCTTTTGTGGGTATTCCACACTGTTGTTTGTGTGTACGTGTGTGTGCCTGTGTGAACGGGCAAATGGCTTTCTTTTCACACACCTTTCTCCTGGGGCCGCTGAAGGTGGTAGTTGGTGGGGGTTTTAGAGTGTGTATGTGTGTGTTGGGGGCATGCTTGGGGCAGGTGAAGTTCTGGGGTGCTTAGGCGCATTTCTGTGGCACAGATGTAGGAATGGAGGGGCCAAGGAGGAGCGAGCATGTGGGGGCTTTTGGCACTGATCAAATGGACTCCCATTTGACTCCAGTTTGGTTAGAAACACATGTCCTTTTAACACCTAAAATACACGTTGCTGAGCCATAATAGCTACTTCAGTCATAAAGTGTAACGCAAACAAGTGAAGGCTTAAGTAATATGTTTATTGAAAATACACCTACGTGAACATTTCACTGTCTTTAATTAAGAGACATTATTATTATGAGTTGTGCAGAGTGTGCATGTGTATGTGAGAGAGAGAGACAGGCTGGCAGAGGTGTGTTAAGCCTGTGGGAAGGGTAGATATATGGAGATAAGTGGTGTCTTGACAGCACTCCGATTACTTTGTGGTAAATGAAATAGAGGAAGTGAAATCCATCAAAGCAAGAGGAAGAGCCAACCACATCAATGGCCCATGCTGCTCTATCACTTCTCTATACCAGGTGTGGACAGCCACAGTAAGAGAACTAACCACCAGTCCCCAAAACACATTCAACTAACCAGCTAACTCAGTTTTGATCATGTGACTTAGATGTTCAATGGCCCCAAAAAGTATGTAGATGCTTACACCACTTGGTTTAAAATGTTACTACAACTACTTTAGTCTTCATTTTGAACATCATATTTTTTTTTCCCCCACAGCCTAACAAACTTGGTATGATATTTCCTTATATAATTAAATGACATCCCTACATCTTGAAATGTCGCGTTAGTGCCCAAATATTTTTGGGACCACTGTATGTACCCTATCCCTATCTCCAGTCTTTGTTAATACAGATAATTCCATGACAAACATTGCACAGAGTTTTCCTAAAATTCTCCACAAATAAAAGTTTAATGAATGGAAAATGACAGCTTACTTCGGTCTCATCCTATCTCTGCTATCTTTAGCTTGAGGCTGTTTTTTTTTTCTTGGCTTAAAACTTAGTGTGTGGTTAAGGCTAGGCAAGATAAAATAAATTGTGTGTGTGAGCAAGCATGTGCATAGCATTAGCACTACATTTGACCATTTCAGTTGCTTTGAAGTGCAGCATGCAGTATTGGCTGTAGAAAGCTCAAAGAGAAGCAGAAAGAGGAAACATCAATCTACTGAACTCACCGTCAAGTGCTGGAAGAGCCAGGCCCTCATGATGTTGGTCGCCACTTTAGGGAAGATACCACGTTTTTTATTCCTCTTCTTCTCCTTGTCGGGGTCGTCATCATCTCCTGTGCTGGGTGACGCCACACTGTTGTCCAGTCCGTCACCTGTCAAAATACACACCACATACACACAGGAGTCATTTAAATGGTCAATTCCTCGCTCAACACTCATGCAGGCCTTTATTTTTTTTGTTTTAAGTTTTCCAAAAACTAGGTAACAGGGTAAGTTGGCAACAACAGTGCTTCAGTATAGCTTTGAAGCGTCACGTCTGAATGCATTCATTTTAATACTTTTATAAATAACACCCCCTTTCTCAAGCCCCACACAATGCTCAGAGAGAGAGAGAGAGAGTACAATGGACTTGTAAGGTCGCATTTCCCCCCTGCCTTCCAACAGTGAGTCACCAAAGAATTGAGAATGACAGAGAGATTTAGTCTTCATTATCCCAGGGAAATATTGATTGAAGCTTGCCCCGGTGTCTTTTTACCTCAGGTGGGGGAGTTACACACTGTGAAAAAGAGGAAGGAGGGGGGTAAATATGGCTGCTTTTCAAAGAGCTGCATTTTAATAACAATGCTGCATGGCTGCTTGCAGCAACCTGTGGGTGCTCGATAAGGATTTATAATGGGCAGTTCAACATACCAGAGCAGAGGAGATGGCTTACGTCGCCTTTTCAGCTTAATGTTGCCGGTTTGCTTGCGTATGCTGATTTTATTCCGATCCCCAATTATTGTACGCATTCTCCCTCAACGAGAGCCCAACCATGCCACCGAGAAGACTTCTGATAATTGTTATTATGAAGCCACGATTCAGATAATAAACCATAAAAGAAACACGAGCGAGGCAAACAACCGCACACTGCAAGGGTCTCAATAGCGGAGGCACAGGAATGGAGAGAGTAACTTATTGATTACGTATAAAGCACTTCCAAAAGCCCCAGTGCTATTCGTACAGAGAGATTATGGTGGGTTAACTCTTTCTCTCGCTGTAGCTTTCAGTCAGTGACATAAGGCACCTGTATCATTGATAATTAATGGAAATGTCTGCAGTAATCCGGTTGGAGATAATTTTTTTTTCCCAGCTCCATGCATCAATAGAATAATCAAGGGTCTAAAAGAGTCTTTGCTCCCCATTACCTCAGGCAAAAGAATTCCTGAAAGCATGCCTTGCGGGCACCTGAATTATATACGCCATTAGGAGAGTGAAGGCTTTCTATATTCCATATAAAACACTCTGCCAGCCCTCTCCACCTAGGAGAGAAGCCCCAGAAAAGACTGAGACTTTTTAAGTGAAGACTTATGTAGATACAGTGGCTTTGCCTTTTAAACAAGGGCACTTTCCCTCAGTCAGTCACTTACTGAGAAACTGACCAGAGCTGAATTGCCCTCCCCCAACACACACAGACACAAGAGAAAAAAAATTCTATAAGACATCAAAGGAGAGTTTCGATTACATCATTAACTTATGCCAAAAACAGCCCTGGCTTAGAGAGCAGTTTGTCTTCCGACTGTTTTTAGGCAAATAGAACTTCCCAGCTCCCATCTGGGAAGGCAGTGGCACCGCTGGTTTTGTAATCTAAGACATAATTTTCATTAGAAGCAAATGCTCCAAATCCGGTGTAAAGACTAGTCCGTGTTCAGCAAAGCCTAAAATAATAAACCCAGGGCTTGTCCCATGTGAGTTAGCAAAACAGAAGCAAACACTGGATATCAGGTCAGACGGAGGAAGAAGGGGGGGGTACGACAAAAGAGTAAAAGAGGGCAGGGGGCGTTTGAGTGATGTCTGAGGTAACTGCTGCGTGTGAGCTTTTGTCTTCCACCTCTTCTAGCCATTTTGAACTATTTAACCTCCCTTCCCCAATATTTTTCCTTAAAAACTGACCTCTGATGGCCTGGACCTTCAAGGCAAACGAGGGGGAGAGAAACGAAAGCTGTCAATTTTATTGGGATTTCCAGTTTTGACGCAATTTGATACCGATTCAACTCATGTCTGGGACTCATTTTGCCTCTTTTTTTTGTCATTGTTAGCACATGGCAGTGTCTATTTACAAAAATGATGTGACTGACGTGATTTTAGTCGTTATGCTAACTTCCGCCATTTTCCTCTTTTCAACACCACTCGCCAAAACCCTGCCCTCCAAAATCATTTCAGCAACGTTAAACATGCAAAATGGTTTACAAGCAAAAGAGCATTTCTGATTGACTAAAAAGCTGTCTCTCCCCTGACTCATTTCTCGCTGTTTACAGAGTCTAGGGGCTATCACGGGGATGTGGGTTTTCTCGGGATACCTATTTTAATGTGTCAAGAAGTAGGATGTACTTATCGCTGTCAATTTTATTGTTTTTTCCATCTTCGATGCACTTCACCTTATTCGTCTAGGGCTAATTTTGCATCTATTTTAGCACCGGAGTGTAGGCACAGGCATATAGCAGTGTCTATACGGCACTGTTGTGTCAAAATGTCAAGCCGTTGCCGAGCTTCTGCACTCTTCCCGTGCCAAATAAAGACGAGCGATGGCGGCGAGACTGAAAAGGTGGAAATAATCATAAAAATGATGCTAGTCCATAAACAAGCTCACAGCCTCATTAGTCCAGCAGCAGGCTCCACTGGCAGATTTATGCGCCTTTTCGCTGATGCCATGAGGAAATGCCACGGGCGAACTTTGGCCAACTGCTAATGGCTTATGACAGCGTCTTAGCAACTACTGCAGGGAGGGGGGACGCTCGGTCCGGTTCGCCACTGACAGAGAGGAAAATGTCATCTCATCTGGCCATGTGTGGTGGAGTCTATGCAGCAATTAGAGAGCAGGCCACTGACTGGAGCAGGCCAGAGGCTGAGGAGGATGCCCCGCGGCTAACCAGGGAGAGAATTTTTTATGACCCCCTCGTACACGCGCACACACACATCCACGCGTGAGATCAGCCTGTGACGCTCTAGCTGCCTGGCTGCTGCTAAAATCAGGTTAACTTCCCAACATGCCTTTGTCAGCCAGCTCTTCTGATTGGCTCATCTGCTCCATCTCGATACCGGTCTCCTGCTCTCTCGATCTCTCCAGCCGTCTCTCTCTCTCTCTCCCTCTCTCTCTCTCTATCGCCACCACTCTTTCTTACTTACTCAAGGCGCTTTCTGACATCAGAAAGATGTGGGCTAATCTGTTATGATCTGATTACTCAAAAAGGACACTACCTGTTCCTCTCGCCTTGTGCATTCAAAACTCCAGTGTCAGCCATTTTTCTGCTGCTTTACAAATTAGCAGAATGGCACTTCCGATCCATCGAGCACATTTCCATGTCACTATGTCAAGCGTTTATTCACATGCCATGAAGAAGTTGACGTGACGTTTTTGAGATTGAGATCCACCACCTCTGCTGAAAAGACCAGCTTAGGCTGGTTGGTTAGGTCTAGACGGGGGCTCCTATTGATCCTATAGAACTTTCAGAAGGTGAAGTATGCAATGTATGTGCCAATAGTGGCACCAAACTGGATTACAAAAACAACAGCATTGGATAAACAAATACTGTGAGTTTGGGGGTGGGGCTACCTGTTTGTCCAAGCAATGGAAAACAAAGGAATGTTATTTTTGCAATTAAACAAATCAATACAGAAATATCCATAAGTACTATTGAACTGTGACAGATTTATCAACCATTCTCGTTACAAACTTGGGAACATGCTTGGCACGTTGCATTTTCAAATGCACGTTATAGGTGACTCAAACTCCATCACTTGCAGAGATGGAGTTTGTGTGGAGCAGCAGTGTTGATAATTGTGCTAAACCGTATCACATTCTCATGCATTGTTAAAAATTAAGTAAAAAAAGGTTACTGGCGAGTAGCACACATATACTCACATCACTGATTTTTACTTGCATTTGGCGCTTAGCGAGTGTTAATTTTAGGCCCTGGTTGTAAGTCAGGCTGTCATAGCTCATGCAGTACAGCTTCTAGCCCAATTTTAAGAAGTGTTTTGACAAAATTTTACTGGCCATGGTCTGATGGATGGGGCCAAGCTGTGGAAACAGATTGGCTTTTGCTTTACACCACATTTGGTCCATGGATGATTTCTAGAGCACCTCTGGCCACTCCCTGTGGAGGGAGTCAGGCGACCTGTGCTGCTCTCTCACTCTCCCTTAGCATTCAAACACACACTGTACTACGGCTTTCCTGGTCCTGCAAAACCTTAGCCTTAAGGGCCCGCCATCCGCCTTCTTTTCACTATGCACACATTCACACACGTTCACACACTCTTCATTCTAACACACACACACACAGAGTTGCATATAAAGAGAGTGGGCGAATGGGAAGAGGGGAGGGTCGGGAAAGAAAAGATAAAGCCGGGTTCATTGTATTCAGGCCATTCACATGGTTAGAATGGACCAGGCAGCGGGGGTTCCCTTTGCATGGGTCACAAGTGCCTCCCACCTCAAAAATATTCTCAACATGCAGGAATTCCTGTGGTATGATTTCCAACAAGGGACACTCAGATTAGCAGGGAGCTTGCTGTGGACGCTTGCCCCACCATACATTTTCTGTTCCTAAAATACATACAAACATTAGTAGCGGTCTGCTGACTGCAATCACTTGCTCCTCTAGTAAAATGGCCCGAGCTCTTCTAGTTTCTGACTTGGAAGGAAAAATATAAAGGAAAGTCGAGGGTTTAATGAGATGCGACATGGTGGCAATGTGGCAGATCTTTAGTTATGTCGACTCTTTCTGCCTCTTGATCGCGTGTGTCTTGTGATATTTCCATGCACAGCTGTGCATATTTGTGTATTTATGCTGAACTTGCTAAGATAACTAGTTTTCCGATTTATAATTATGTAGAAAAAAATAGCTCTGTAAATACTAATCTGCGGAGAGTCATAATTACAATCCATAATTACCCGGGATTCATTTTAAATAATGACAGTAAATAATGACAGTTTTAAATAACTGCAGGCATCTTAAATAATGACAGTGCTTTTGATTCCCTCTGTTCTTACGCATATGATGACAATGACAGATCTGTAATTCATAATTTGGGGAAAAAAGAGCGTAATTACAAGTCTTTCAGCCGTACCTCGTGTGTCTCTGTCATCAGCTCGCAGCAGGGCTAACGGAGAGGG